GGTGGATGTTTGAGTACCAGTCTATGCTCTGCTCGATGATGATGCATATAGTTGCAATTTGATCAGCATACGATTTGAATTTCCTGAATGTAGCTTATTCTGGTTGGCGAATTTCTAAATTCAATTTATCTTGTATCCTCTCCTGCCTGATGTGACTAAGTATTTTACTTGGCGTGGATAGGAGCATTATTCTTGCAGAGGCCTTATTCGTCCTTCTGTGGTCGTTTGACAGGGTAGACTTTCTTCCAGTCAGCAGGTACCTTTCCTTCCTTCCAAACCTTCTGCCATAATATCATCAGCATTTCTGTCATAGTCTCTGGGTCCTTTTTCGGTGCTTTCGGGGTGTGGGGATTCTGTCTGGTCCTTCTGCCTTCCCGATGGACTGACGTGTCTTGATCACATTCAAGACTGACACTTCTGTTGGTGGATTGGTGTTCACTGGCAAGCAGTTCTGTGCGTGTTGTTGATGATGTTGGTATTTCTGAGGGAGTTGCAGGTGATGGTCGATTCAAGAGTCTTTTGAAGTGATTAGCCCACTGTTTTCTTTTTTTCTTCTGCTTGGTAATCATGTTCCCTTGGGTATAATTTATTGGTTTCATCATGTGCGTCTACCTATTTCCGAATAGAGACCTTGTTATCTGATATAATGTGCTGAAGTCTCTATAACCTGCAGCCTACCTGCCTGCATGTTCTGCTTCAGTTGCCAATCACTGTGTCGTAGAATTGTCTTTTGTTTTCCTACTACTCTCCTTGACTTCTTTCATGATATAGCGCAGTCTACGTTGAACCCAGCTTCTCGTTCTGTTGTCCATCTTTGCACGGAGTCATCTACTCTTTCACCTTTCACGCATCCTCTTCTAGATTGGCTTCCATGTAGGCGTCCGTTGACAGCCATTGTTTGTCGTGTCTTTTCTTTCTCTCTAGAACAGTTGTACACGTTTCCTTAAGTATCGCCTGCAGAGAGTTCCAATGTTGTTCCACGCAAGTTTCCTCAGTGATATCATGTAGTTTATCTGACTCGGCTCTGATCTGTACTGAAGATACCTTTTTAGTTGCACCTTTCAGTTTCTGAATATTGAACTTCAATTATGGTCTGTCTCTAGTCGTTTTGAAGGATTTCAGCTTCACCTTGAAGGTTGCTTGAACCAGATGATGGTCTGAGTTAACATCTGCTCCTCTTCTAGACTTTGTGGCCAGCAGACTGGTTGCATCTTCACTTCCTTGGGTAGCATTGAGATGAAGTCTACGAGGTCATTAAAAACCAAAGCGAGTATTTCCTCTAGCTATGAAAATAGGTGTTGGAGCTCAACAATTTTAAAACATGTTGGCAAGACAGGTCATCTTTCAACCATGTACAAAAAGTATGTTTGAGAAATATACTTAAGAATCTTGGAACTCATACATACTCTCCAAATATTTACTATAATCTGAATACCTCACTTCACTGAATATTCTGTTTTGACGGTCAACTCAGCTGTACTTCCCTGACTGAATACATTTGTTTATCTATCAATAACGAAAAGAACACTGCAACCTACATGTGTGTAAATGCTTATCACAAGTGAAGGAAATATAACATCAGTGCCGGTTAGGGTAATAACTATTAGTGGGAAAAGAACAAGAAGTTCAGAAAAGATATCTTTTTGGCGATTTCATTCTCAAAAGCGATACAATCGCTTGTATATACATAAGTTTATATAGGTACAATTACTAAATGTCAGTATACTTTTTCCAGGTTGTTTCTTGACAAAATGAATATGTACTAAATAAAGATATACGAAAAACACGTTTACTTCTTTGAAGAAATCTTTTAAGGTATTTGAGTGATAAAGATATTTCTTGGTCATTTATTTTAATGTCAGAAACAAAGTTATCATCGAAGGAATTTGTCGTATATCAAAATTCTCCACGTTTTCAAGGCATCATACTATTCTGAGTGTCAAAATTTTAGCTGTCCCTAAGTTTAAAGTCTACTTATGCACTTATGCATGCCAAGTAATCCACAATGGGAAACTTACGGAATGCTTCGAAGTGAGGATAGGAGTAAGACAAGGCTGCCTACTATCGCCAATGATTTTCTTGATTGCAGTAGACTGGATAATGCGACAGACAGCTGGCAATGAGGAAACAAGCATAAAATGGACTCACACAAAAAACTTGGAGGATCTGGACTTCGCTGGTGATATATATGTCTGATTTCCCACAAACTGGAAGATATGCAAGCGAAAAGCAACAAGTTGGCAGAAGAAGCATCAAAGATAGGACTTCAGGTGAACATAGATAAAACAGAGGTGATGAAAATTCCTGGGCAACACCATCAACAGCAACAACAACTGACAACAATCAACATAAATAGAAGGAACCTGAAAGAAACAATCTCTTTTACCTACCTTGGAAGCATCGTTTCAACTACAGGCAAACGGAACTGACGAGGATATCAAAGTAAGAATCGGAAAAGCAAGGCAAGCTTTCACTACTCTCAAGCCTGTGTTGAGGTCAACAACACTCAGCATCAAAAATAAGATCCAGATTTTCAACTCCAATGTGAAGTCAGTGCTACCATACGGATCAGAGACTTGGCGGGTCATAAAGAGCATCTCAAACAAACTACAGACCTTCATTAACAGTTGTCTTCGCTCAATACTGAAGATCAGATGGCCAGAAAAGATCAGTAACAGGGATCTCTGGCAATGAGCGAATCAACCAGGAACCGATTGTGAAAAAAATATGCAGGAGGAAATGGTGATGGATTGGCTGGCCGTACTCTGAGGAAACCATCAAGTGACATCACTAGACAAGGCATTGCTCGAATGGAACTCGAAAAGGAAGCGGCGAGTTGGTCGTCAGTGCAAGGGTTACTTGGAGGAGGTCATGTGAAGAGGAGATGAAAACGTGTGGGCAGACTTGGAGCCAGGTTAAGACTCTAGCAGAGAACAGAACGCAATGGAGACGCATGGCTGAAGCCCTATGTTCCTCTAGGAAATAAAGGATACAATAATAATAAACCATTATCTTCACTTTTTGTAGGACGCTAATCGAGCTTCTAATCTTGCTAATAAAGCTTTCAGAATCAGTAAAGTTAAAATCTACATTGGCTTTTCATAAGGTAGGTGATAAAAGCTCTCTGGTAAGTGCGTAAGTGTTTTGTTATCGTCTGTTCCTGAGATTTTCTTGGTGGACAAAAGTTGATTCTTACTGAAGTGTAGTTTATGAAAGATTCCCAGAAGAATACAATAATTCGTTTTTGTAAATAACTAAGAAGTCAGTTTAATTGATGTTGACCAGTAGTAGAATTCAGGGTGCGTTTTTCATCCTAATCTGGACTCATCAACTGAAGTTGATACATCAGTAGAAACGGAAGATTTCCACCGAACATATTCAATCAATGGGAAATACAAATTAACCTAAGATCAACAGAGAAATCAAATTTACTTTGTAAAATGGGATGGTTTATAGGCTGAAGTTGAAGTCAAAGATTATCCTTTCATTTTTAGTCTGACTAATTAATGAAACAAAAACCATTTACTTAACTATCATTATTTACTAGAAACATTGCCTCTGGGTAACAGTCATGAGACTAACAATTTTCATCGTACAAGGTTTTACGCAGATTCAGTTAGTTGAAGGCATTAACTGTGAAGAGGTGAAAGACCGTGAGATACCAGTTGTCATGAGTTTGCCTGTAAGGATTTGATTCGTTTCAAGTTTGACCAGAGATTGATGTTAGTCAGAGAACCATTGGAAACAATGGAGCACAGAATAGGTGTTTCGTCCTAGTTTGTAACTCTTCATCAGCACTAATCCACTGGGATTTGAACCCAGTGGGGTACAGCAGGTTGGGTGTGAGGATAGATGCTCGTCGATGACATTAGCTAGTGGTCACACTATGTCATCAATTGGTAGAAGCTGGAACTCATGGGTCGGCCATTGGATATGGTCCCAGTGGATATTGAATGGTCAGTGAGCCCGCAACGTAACCAGAAGGTCATGGTTCCTAACCCCAGTGGGTACGTACTGATGGAGAGTCGAAAATTAGGTTTCTAAATGGTTCTCTAACCGATGTCAACTAATGATGAGATTCTCCAACCTATCAAAACGAATATCTGCAAACCAAAACTTGAGTAATTCTGCAATTACTATCCATTCCCCATCTAGACACGTTACAGGATAATAAGCCTTACAAAACTGAAGATTCCCATTGTTGTTAAGTACTAAAACGTTTACATTCTTTATGATAAGCTGATTCATAGCATATTTTTTTAAGTCTGACTGACTGCAGTTCAGGAGAAGTAAGTAGCAGTAGAAATAAGTAGCAAGCACTTTTTATACAGAAATTTGAGAGACACAGAAACAGTAACTATGTCAACTTCACCATTAGTAGTGTTTTCCACACTCAAGGTCTTCTCCATACTGAAAAGGTTATCTGACGTGTAATACAACTAATTAAACATGAATCATGAAATTCGCCTACTTGTTATACTTTACTCAGCTGGCACAACATTCACTTGCCAGCAGAGTGTCTGTGAAATTGTACAAATGGTCTAGTGGTAATACATATATCATCAAAGTTATAGATCAATCTTCGTCAAAATGACACCCAATAATTTTCAGATATTAATTTCAAAATAATGCGCTAAAAACATTAGGTAAGTAAAGAAACTTATATCTCATATGATATTACCAACCATAGCACATTCCTTCAGCTTTTCGAAACGGTCTAAAGCTACTTCGTTAGGTAGGTATGTTGAAGAGACTAGTAGAATACAACTCATCAACTTTATTGAAAACTTCCTTTTGAATGAGTTGTTACCATCGTAAAGCTCAATAAAAATTATGAAACTGTGATTTTTTGTCTATTTCTATATACACCCTTTTTATCCAATAAAACAAATTGTTGATGTTACCGTTGACATAGTAGTTATTTTAATGCTTAGGAGATGCTTATCTTGCAGTCAATAAACAAGTCACTTCTTGCAATTAAATAGCAAGTAGAAATCAAAATATATATATATATATATGTATACATATATAGACCATAGTATTCCCATTGTGTTTGAGAAATTAAACAAATGTTCACCATAATTATCTCCTTGTATTATCTCATGGCAGTGTTTTCCTGTCATTCGTCAACTAATAATGGAAGCATTGTCAACTATATTTACAATGGCAGTACAGGTTATTATCTTGTTCATGTAGGCTTTACAAATAAGTTTTGTGAAGCCAACACTATGTGTTCATCTTATGGAAAAACTATGGGACAACAAGCATCTCTTATTGGTATAGAATATTTAAAATTAAAAGAATATTTCACTAATATATCAATTTCATTTTGGACACGTCTTAATCAAATTGATCTAGTGAATTTAAATAAGTTTGATTATGTAGATGCAAGTATTTATTGGATGGATGGTATTTCATTGAAATCGTTTAAAATGGAAAAGTTTAAGTCAGATTTAAATATATTTCTCAATCCAAATAATTTGAAGTCTTATAGTGGAAAAAATGTACTCTATTATAATTCTCAGAAGAAATCTTTACAAACAACTTGTGCAACACGTGAGCATGAAATTGGGGTAATCTGCGAAATTGTCACTAATTCAAGTGAAAAACAGGAAGAGTTTATACAGATAAAAAAATTCAGAAAGTATCTTATTAAAAGTGGTGTACAGTACCTTTCACCTAGTCCACCTTTCGATGGATGTTATCGATCTGATTCTAGCTCTAGTGAAACAGATTGTATGCACAGGTTAGTTATTCTATGCAGTTTCATTAAACATCAGTATATATATATATATGTATATAATTGAAGGAGTTCTGTCCAATTTCCTGGATGTTATTTATTAAATAATCAGTTTATGACTGCATTTATTAAAAGTGTAAAATGTTGCATACTGCCGCTGAAATTATACCTTCATTCAGTATCATAAAGTGTTCACACCAATTCTGTATTATTACAGTTATTATTAATATGGTCTCCTGTTTCTCGGGGTTCGCTCCCCACCCAACGCACTCATTTACCTCACTAAGCGGACAACAAGACTGGTAAAGAGTTAAGGTTAGGCATGAGGCTAGCAACCTCATGTCGTAAAAATAAACATCACTGCTATCGAAACTTCATACTTTTAGCTTGAAGCCCTATGTTCCACAAGGAACGTAAAGGAGTAAAGCAAAACAAAAATAGTCTCCTACTCTAAAGAAAATATTCACAAGGAAATAACGTTCATCAAATACAACCAATTAGTGGATATTCTTATAGGACTATAGTGAAACAGTATATTCACGCAATAAACAATTGTTAGGTAAATGTTTTAACAGTAGAAAAGACCCCCATTCTTTATATTTTATTGTGCAGATTAGAATATCGATGGGAAAATTAATTAAATCTTTGCAACTGTTTGTTGTCAAAGAAAGGAATCACTATCTATTTGGAAGTTTATACTGAATATATATTCTTATTAGATGGTTTGAGACAGTCAAAAGAAAGCCTTTGGTCTAGGTTTTGTACTTGTCGGGAGTCGTCAGCAGTCAACTCTCGTCTATTCCAAGATTTGAACCTGGGTCGTTCAGTACTGTGATCAGGGAAGTTACATCTAAGCTAATCGGGCTAACGATTGATCTCCTGGACGACTGTAATTAATACTTTGATTGAACACTACTGCACTTAATGTCAGTAAAATGTTTGAGCTCTGTGGAATATATCAGATAAGGTATAATTGTATTTCAATGGTCTAAACACAATGATAAGATTTTGTTATTGGTAATATTTCGAGCAAAATTACTACTCGTGTTCACACCACTGTTGGAATTGTTTTGTTTTTCAATTCAAACATTTATGATTTGTACTCATTTACACAGTTCTTTTTTTTGTACATTAATTTTGTGTATTCAGAGTTATATTCCAGGTTGTTGACAGTTGTACTGAGTCGCTCTTGTTACATGTATCCGGTGTGACCTCAATGTGAATATAGATTCTGTTATAAGTCACTCTTTCCATTTGTTCATATTAGTTTTTAGAAGTCAAACATTGTTCCAATCGATATTGTGGTTTTTGTCCCATGCATGTACAGCTATAGATGATTTTTTCTCTAAATTCTTGTAAGCTTGTGTTCCTGTTGGTTGACCTTTGGTTAGGCGTTTATGTTCATTCACTCTTATTTTGAGTGATCTGGACGTTTGACCCACATATTTAGTCGGACACCCAGCACAAAATATTTTGTAAGTTATATTGTTTTTGTCGATCATTTTTACTGCATCTTTCAGTTGATTTATTTCATTTTTCATTAGATTCGTCGGTTTAAACGTTGTGTGAATCCCAATATTTTTGAGGTTTCTTCGAATTGGCTCTGATGTACCATTTTTGCACGGTATCGTCACTGTATTTTTGCTTTCTTCCTTCTTGTCATTTCCCGGTTTTATCCTCTTTTTTCTTTTTTATATTATCTTTGATAAATTTTTGAGGAAGTTTTATCGAGTAACATTTTGAAAAATTATGCCAACAAAATGAAGGAGTAGCCATGGGATCAACCATCTCACCAATAATAGCTGAAATGTTCATGGATTTTTGGGAAAGAGTGCACTAACAGCATTCGGGTCATCAATAAAATGTTGGTGGAGATATGTAGATGACAAGTTAGTAATAATGAAAAATAATGATGTTGAGAAATTTTTCTCACACGCATAAACAGTCATGTCGACCCAATAAAATACACTATGGAAATAGAGAATGAAATTGGAGAACTGCCTATGTTAGACTGCAAAATACAAAGAGTAACAGATGATAGCATAAAAACGACGCTGTATACACACTCTAGGCGATTCCTTGATTATCACTCAGCTCATCCACTCACGGTAAAACAAGGATTAATACAAAGTCTTGCAGATGGAATACGTAGTCTTACAACAACACCAGAGGACCAGCGTAAAGAAATAAACGTCCCATTCAAAATGTTACTTGATAAAACTTCCTCAAAAATTTATCAAAGATAATATAAAAAAGAAAAAAGAGGATAAAACCGGAAAATGACAAGAAGGAAGAAAGCAAAAATACAGTGACGATACCGTGCAAAAATGGTACATCAGAGCCAATTCGAAGAAACCTCAAAAATATTGGGATTCACACAACGTTTAAACCGACGAATCTAATGAAAAATGAAATAAATCAACTGAAAGATGCAGTAAAAATGATCGACAAAAACAATATAACTTACAAAATATTTTGTGCTGGGTGTCCGACTAAATATGTGGGTCAAACGTCCAGATCACTCAAAATAAGAGTGAATGAACATAAACGCCTAACCAAAGGTCAACCAACAGGAACACAAGCTTACAAGAATTTAGAGAAAAAATCATCTATAGCTGTACATGCATGGGACAAAAACCACAATATCGATTGGAACAATGTTTGACTTCTAAAAACTAATATGAACAAATGGAAAGAGTGACTTATAACAGAATCTATATTCACATTGAGGTCACACCGGATACATGTAACAAGAGCGACTCAGTACAACTGTCAACAACCTGGAATATAACTCTGAATACACAAAATTAATGTACAAAAAAAAGAACTGTGTAAATGAGTACAAATCATAAATGTTTGAATTGAAAAACAAAACAATTCCAACAGTGGTGTGAACACGAGTAGTAATTTTGCTCGAAATATTACCAATAACAAAATCTTATCATTGTGTTTAAACCATTGAAATATATTTATAGTTTACGATACATTAACTAATGTCATCTGTCCAGTTTTGTTTACTGTAGGCTGAATACACTCTCAATTGCGGAGATTTAATCATATTCCGATCATTTCTTTTCATTGTCAAGGAATTACCTTTCATTCATTTTGATCATCATAAACTCATAACATCTTGACTATGCATACATTTTCAAATCCCTTGAGTAACATAGTGACATAACGAAAGATGCGCTAAATTTGCATAATAAACGAAGCTATTCTATCAAAAAGGTGTATTTCTCTGGAAAGGCGACTTCACCAAAAGTTCATTGCTCTGTCCCCATTTAAAATTCATAATAATTAAAAGAAAGTAGTTTGAACTGTGAATTTTGAACACCGGTAGAGTAGTTTCAAGAATATTGCAGTCAGGAATAATAATCACGATAACTTTACTCCAAAAAATATTACAGTAAACAGTTTTGAGTACTTAGTATCGCAAAAATGTATTTCTCATGTATATTATCAAACTATGCGAAAATTAAAGTGTTCAATGTGTACATTAGTAAAATTACTAGTTAATTAGAATCAGTGGTCGAACAATTAGATGAAACAAGTATATGGCAGTCGAATGAATACCTTTGCACAATATTGTTTAAGAAGTTGATTGGAAAAGAGATGATAGGAGTGTAAACTGTTAGTTAATCTTTATGCTCGACAAATAGCGAGATATGCTGAATAAGATGAAAAGCAAGGGAGAAAAAGATGCTATGCAAGGAATACTAGCTAAAGTGATAAATATTACCGGGCATTTACTCTGTATAACCAGTTAAAATGTATTGCGAAAATCAGCTGGCATCTTAGAAATTTTATTTAATAATGAAAGAGGTTTCAGGAAAAACTCAGATACTGAATTATAATCTGTAAAAGTAAATCTAACATGTCTAGCACATTTTTCAAGACTAAACAGTCAGTCTTCAAATTTGATTTTTTATACTCTGAAGCCCTGCGAACAATTTTTGACACAAGTGACAATAGTTTTGTTGGTAGTACAAAACACAAATTTGCCGCAGATGTGTTTCTTGCCTGTTTAAATTTCGAATAGTAATTTTATGCCTTCCGATTCAAAGGACAGTGAATGATACAGAAATTGCAGATACTCCTTGTTGATGGCTGCTAGCAGTTAAAAAAATTAAAACCATAGCTACAAAATATATTTCTCCTCTAGCAATGTATTATAATACACTACAGTAGATAGGAATGTAGTGTTAAATAGATTAGCTAGTATACTACATACTGAATCGACGTAATCCAGTGAGCACAGTCACAACTAGACGGCTATGATGATTATTATTCACTGACCAATTTGTTTATACTTATAAGTAATAATGCATTCTACATACTATTCTCTACTCATCATATTTCCTTGAATAACTAACTACTAAATAAGTAAACAGTGGTTTATTTATTCACCTGCCAACGCAAAACATAACCTATTTTTCATCAGAACAGATGTTTTTATTTACTGCTTTGTTTCTTTACAACTTTTACCTCATTCACTGATTACTTAAAGTAAAATTCTCCGGTAAATAAAATCAACTCACAAATTACAGAAGTTAATTGACAAATGGTTTAGTGATTATTCTACTTCAGATAAACAGAATTTATGTAATGTAGACCAATGAATCAGCTGTGTCAATAAATTTAAGAGTAAGAACAAAAGTTTATTTTGGCTAGTTGTAGGTGAACGGGTTCCATGTTCTCTGCAACCCCACAAACAGCTTGACGCTAAGGCGAGTTGATGATAGAAAGTATAAGTCTCAGGGGGACATGTTTTTTGTATGTTTTTGGTAGGCTATACATGTTAGGTAAGCGGGACCCTTGAGGTTTTCAATTATTATAAGCATCGTTGTTAATCAATCTCTTCTTTGGAAGATCTCTCAGTACTTTTGTGGTGCGCTTTTTCACTGCATTTGGTGGTCATCCACTTTAAAATTTAAAGGATAATTTAAGGCAGTATTTATCTTAGTAATGTAGTCTTCTTAATCCATCAATGCCACCTGTGAGGCTTGATCAGGTTGCATTATGACTGGTTTTGGTTATTTCTGATGGCTTTCAGTGGTCTTTGATGCTTCTTAGGGAAGATTTTGGAATATGACGTTGGTGAAGTGAGGCATTGATTCGCAACATCGACCGGGTTAGATCCGAATGAGCTCTTCATGTCTTGGTCAGCTGGACTTAGGTCATTTAGCTGATGGAATAGGTTTTGAAATGGTACACAGCGTTGTTCTTGTTTTATTCAGATTTGAAAGCAAACAACCTTAGCAACACTTTAGTCTTTTCGTTACCGACTGGATAAAATATTATAAAACTGGGACAGTTATAAGAATTGCACTTGGTTGGTAGAATAGTTTGAAACAGTTAATTCATCCTACTCATTTTATTTATAGGTCATCACTTTGTGTGCTTATTGTGAATTTAAATATCTTTTTAAGATTTCACTGGATGACACATCAAAACCGAGTTCAAAGTATGCGTATCAAAATTAGCCCTTAAATAAACTATTATTACTATCATAAAACAACGAACTTGAAGTCCTACGAAATTATTCGACATACATAGTATACAACTGTTTATACAACAAAATTATTTTTCAGTACCTTTTCCTCCTAGCAGGTCTGAAACATAGGTTTTCTTTTGGAATTCTTATTTAGCTGAATATGGAGCACACTCGTATTTACTTTCTTTTAATCTAACTCTGATTTATCTAAGTTAGTATTGTACTTCTGGTTGACTGATTATGTTGGTCTCAGTAGACATTTTCGTTCCTAGAATGGATGCTTCCACGATATCTGAGGATTAACGTGGTGCTATTTGGTGGATGCTGACAGGCAGTGGAACCCACGATGTACATTCTCCCCCCCCCCACTCGGGGGTCGTAAGACGAATCAAAATACTCGCAATCCCCACTGAGTAGTAGTGTTTCCATTGAAACCTGGATCCTGCACTCATCGTTTCAGGTTTCAAATTGATGTCCACTGAGTCAGTTGGGCCTCAACAGCCAACAAATAACAACTGATACCCATTCCATAAAAGACGGTTGCCATGACCCAAGTAACCTAGTAGGTAACGCTCTGGAGTTACAAAATGAAAGGTGTGGGATTCGAATCTCAGTGGAGCATCATCACTAATTGGGGATTGTAGGTGTATTCATCGGGCGAGCCCAAAATACAGCAAAATGCACATTGTAGACCCCATTGCTAGTCACAATGCACCAAATGACTAGGCTTTTTTTGCTTGTTTTCTGGATGGCACTGTGAGTAACTATGAACAAAGTTGCATTAAATAGCTTACAGGTTATTTGTGACTGGTCGGAATGTATACACAGTAGATGTAACACTCATAATTTACAATTGGAGTAATGTGTATACATAAGTCATTTAGGGTAAATGTTCAGTTGTGTGGGGAGAGAGAATTCTGTCAGCAATAACCTACGTGAATTACTCTATCAATTTATTATTTTAGTAGTGTGGTTTTAAGATTTCAGGACTGGTGCAATAATGCAATATGTCGGCGTATAATTCACCGATCCTATATTTATATATATATATATATATGTATATGTATATAATGCACTAGTATATAGCTTCGTTACATTGAAAGTGGTCACTTCTAGTTAGTTCACTTTATGGTCTTCATTTCAACTTGAGGGCATTGAACATCTTGGTCTTACAATTTTTCGTAATAGAAAACACAAATGTAACTTTAGAGTCTATGTGCATTTTAATGCCATCGACTAAAAGTATCATCCATTATACTGAGTGTTGATATTAGTACACAGTCGCCTAACTGCTGATAGACAGTCGAGTTTTAAACTTCTAACTCATGGTTATATATGTATAAACCAAGTTCACTTTTAACAGTTTGAAAAAATTTGGGCGTTGGGTATACGACATTCATTATAATAAAGGTTTTTTGTATTTTCCAATGAATGAAAAACGAAACTATATTGTTTTAACTGAAGTTTCGCTGCTTAATGCTAATAGCTTTATCAAAGTATTATTAAACCAGAATTTACAAAATCTCAGCTTCTATATAACAACCTAATCATCGTTCCTCAGCATGAGATCATTTTTCGTTGTCAGACTGGTCAATCGGTAACGATAACAAAACCATGTAGGTGTAGATTGTTGGATTTGATGTGTGCAAAATTATAAAAGCAGCGTGTGTTTACATCATGAGGGAGGGAGGTGTTGTAACCAGGTTAAATTTTGTTTTAGTCCATCACTTCTATTCAGACAATTTGGATTCCCCTTGATTTGAAATGCTTCTGATACTAGACGTTCTGTGTGATTTCTGAAATTTTCCTGGATTATTTCAACATTGTCAAAATTAATTTTGTGGCCGGATTCTGTAGTGTGTAGGCCTATGACTGATGATTTTTCAAGCTTTTCTAGTCCACTAACTGGATTTCTTGGTGGTCGAACAGATGCTCTACGGTGTTCATTTCTTCTGATTTTGATTTCTCGAGATGTTTCTCCGATGCATATCGTACCACATTCCAAGCATTTTACTTTGTAGTTATAATCAGAATGAGAATTCTTAGGGATTTTATCTTTTACATGGACAAGGTTGTTTTGTAGTGTGCATAGTGTTTTGAAAAGAACTCAGATGCTGTGCTTATTTAGTACTCTTCTGATATCGTTAGACATCTCTGATCTAAATGGAATTCGGAACTGTTGAGTCCCATACATTTTCGACCATATTTAACACCAGTGTTGATTTTGTCGATGAAATTCTTTGGGTAGTTGTTTTGCTTGAGAGTTTCAGTAATGTTTGATATTTCTCCTTCTTTTTCTTCCTCATCTGTTATCAGAGAGTGTGCTTATCTAAGAAGACTTGAAACGACTGATACCTTTGCGTTGATGGGGTGTGATAATCTGAAGTCTAAATATTTATTGGAGTGGGCTTTCTTCCTGAATATAGATATACTAAAATGTCCGTTTTCCCTTGTCTTAACTAGGCAGTCTAGAAATGGTAGTTCACCGACGTCTGATTCTGCTTCCGAAGTAAACTGGATTTTGGGAGATACACAGTTTATTTTCTCCAGGAATGAATTGTGTAGATCTCGTTTTAATACTACAAAAGTATCATCTACATATCCTAACCATATTTTAGGAGCAGGGATGCTTGAATAGATGTTATCTTCAAATCTATTCATGAATAGGTTAGTGACTGTTGAGAAAACTGGTGAATCCATATCAACACCATTTGTCTGTCTATATTAATTCCCTTTAAATGTAAAGTAATTACTTTCTAGACCGAATTTCAAGCCCTTAATTATTTCACTGGTGTCGAGTGGACATCTTTGTGATAGCGTTGTATCTGATTCTAGTAGACTGGAAATGATTTCAAGACTTTCGGTAATAGGGATACTAGTATATAATGAGTTAATATCATAGCTTATAATAATGTCTTCTTTATCAATTTCTCGATGTTCTATTTGGCATTTGAAATCATATGAATCTTTTACAATATTTTGAGTGTCCTTTTGTAGTGGTTGTAGTATCGAGAGTAAGTATTTAGATAGGCTGTATGTCGGTGAGTTGGTGAAATCTACTACTGGTCTCAATGGAACTGTGGGTTTATATATCTTTGGTTGACGGTAGAATCTTGAAAGTACATAGGATTTCGGTTTTAGTTTAAACCAGAGAGAATTTCCAATTTTAGGTTTCATTTCTTGAAGAAGTCTGTTTATATTTAGTTTCATAGGTTATAAAAAGAAGTTCTATTTTAAGGACATATTGGTCTTCTGTTAAAATTTGTCTTGTCACTGAATAATATACAGAGAAACAATATGTTGATATATGTCAAGCTGACTCCAGATGGATCAATCTGGTACCTGAAAGCAGTTATTTCAGCGTCACCAGTAGTTTTGTCACAGATTTTTATTTGTAGAAATGAATAACTAGTTGATAGTTAGTACTGTAGTGGACTCCGCAGTATTGCTCAAGTTTTTTTGTCACATAAGTTTATTTGATATTCTGACACAATACCACAGTGTAATCCCGTACGCGACAGTTTAAGATGTAGTGATTACAACTACTGTTATAATTATTACCACTAAAAATTTGGTCAGTGCACTTTTGTCAGTTAAGCAATACTTGTTCATTTCAAGGTACAAGCAAAGTAAGTTAAATAGGTGTCCAGCATTTCAGATTTTCTGATTAATAATAAACAAAGACTAGAGTAGAAATAAAGTTGATCGGATACGACTATATAGGACAGTTATTTTTAGTTAAGTTGAGATATTACTACACAACATCCCTATATAACTAAATAATCTGTGAAATTGTCAGTGAGCAGGATCTTTCATCGGGTAGAGAGATTAAAATAATGGTCCAATTTCAGTAGATATATGAAGAGAGAACATTGAATGGATTCATTAAGGTTTTCCAAAGGCTTAATGGATTTATCATGTCTTGTAGCTACTGTAATCATACTACTGATGTACTGCGAGATATATCCACAGATATCTTTTTTCGATTTTAGACTTAAGAGGCATTTTCAATTTGATAGTCCAGTGTAATAACGCTGCTACTGTTTCGTAATCTCATTTGTTGATAAATTTAATTAGTACAATGAAATACTTTTCCAAGATGCTTTCAGATGAGGAGTAACGTGACTGAGATTATGTAGTGTTCATTTAACTTCTGAAAAAATAATTTCACACCGATAGGTATCAGATACGTAGTTCATGAGGTGACTAAATATGAAGTCATTTTAATAGAAACAAACGACTCATCAAATAGTCGGTTCCAATAATTTTAATGGTTCCAGGCTTGAAGCTTGTAGTGAAGATAAGACTACCGGACAGAACACAAGTTGTTGACGTCCACAAAGTCTACATCAAGCTAGAACATTATTCTTTCAGTTTGTTCATATGTTAAACATCAACAGTGTTTTAAAATTGATTTTGCATTCTTTTTCTAGATGTGCTGTTGATGTCGATTGTCTTGCGTTTTTCCATAACAGCGTCGAGAAGTCGTGTATTCTTAAACATTTCACCGGGTTTCAATTACCTCATCATTTGGAAACAGGAAAAGGAGAATGGACAGGCTATAAACTAACTTCAAAATGAGTTTATGCTGTTTTATGAAGAAATCTAACATTTTGCATCATTAATGTGTATGTTATGAAAAGCAAGAATTACGTTTCGAGAAAAGAAAATATATGCATAGATACATAAAGTAACAGCAATTCACACTGTTCTATCTTTGGCAGAGACTTTTTCATTTATTTCCTATCTAAGCACAATCAAATAAATCATTTACTAATTGTATGAACCTTTCTCTTTAACTCATGTGATGCGCCTGAAAATCATGTCAGTTCAAAGTGAAGCATTTGAAAACCCGTGAATACACTGAAATCGTTGTGGTGAAAATGAGGAATGTATTACTACGAATAAGTAGATCAGTTTCTTCAGTAGGCAATCAATTCCTCAGCAGAATTTCATTCTATGCTGAAAACATTGCATCTGACAACACACATTGCTAGATAATCCTTTGATTCATAACTTCAATTCAAAATTCGATTTACAGTGTATTTTAGGTGCAGGTGGATTGAATTCGCCCCAGCAAGATATCCCAATTTACATGGTTTCCAACCATTAAGTCTGTATTTCTGATATTCACTTAAATGCAGTACTCAGTCGCTTTGTCTTATGATGATAATATGCATATGGATAACTATCCTTCGGTTCAGAATCAACCATCTAAAGAACTGTGATTGCAGTATTACCAAGTGGTTATGTACTCAGTCGATAGTTAGCATCGCTCCACATACTTATCACTAAGATCAGCAAAGAGATTAGGGATAAGAATTTCAGAGTTTATAGATACCCTTTTAGATGAAACCTATAAGGACCATTGGATCGGATCCCGGTGGCTAAACGGTCTACGAGCTCGCCTTGTAACCAGAAGGTCCTGGGTTCGAACTCTGGTGGGTCCATACTGATGAGGAGTCCCAAAGTGAGACAAGACAGCTGCCCAGTACTCCTAGGTTTTCAAGTGGTTCTCTAACTGATGTCAGCTCATGATGAAATCCTCCATGCAATCAAACAAATCCCTACAAAAGCAATACCTATAATAATAGTTTGTGAACTTCAAACTTCATTGGTACTGAGCTTCAGGTGATCTCAGTTGCTGTATATCTTTCAACAGAATGGCCATTACATTGAATATTTGTAGTGTAATTTAGTTTTTAAAAATGATTCTAAGCGCGGAGACAAGTTTATCCCAGTACATTCACCTGCTTCATACCTGACTACAACGGTAGGATGAGTCAGTATACCAGAAATATTTCTACTTAATCAGATAGTTGATCATGAAGTCTAAACTGAAATTGTATTATTTAGAAATTGTACTTCATAGGTGTGCTTCACTGAATGTTCCTGAAGCATTATTTTTTAAGCTTACATCTGCATCATAATTACTGTATAGAAGGTGTGATAAACAACTGATTTACAGGTGAAAGCTAACAAGCTGACAAAAGAAGCCAGTGGAGGGGACAGGACTTCAAGTGAACACAGAGAAGATGGACATGATGACCAACCAACCAACAACAACAACCAGAATCAGAATCAATCACTACCAGGAAGAGGAATTCGGAAGAGGTCACTTCCTCCATCCATCTAGGAAGTATCGCATCAACTACACGTGTGGCATGGATGAGGATCGTTATGATTTCTGTCGCCAATTTGTTATGGACCTGTCGCTAATTGATATTATCTCGTTGACATCCGATATGACCAAGTGGACTGATGCGTGGGTATAATAATACTGAAGTGCCTTGCACTTCACTGAGCCACGTAAATATCGAAAGACACAGACTGGCCTGTGACTGTTAGGATGCGGTTTTGTTTTAGGAAAAATACGTCATATTTATGTATTTTTCTATCATATTAAAACCGGTCCAGGGAAGTGGAAATGGATTCTTCTGATTGATGGCAATTCGGCTAAGGTAGGGGAAAATAAATATTCTGATTGGTTGGCGATGTGATCAAGATCAAGGTAAGATAAAGATGCGGAAATTTTATAATCGTCAGATGGCACAGTGAATCACATGATGAGTCACATAATGATTACTATTTGAAGCTGATTCTTACCCAGTATGTAAAAGCTAATCAGAATCGGAGAGGCAAGGTAGACCTTCGTAACTCTGAAATTAGTGCGGAAATCTTCGTCAGTCAGGATAAAGAACAGAATTCAGATTTTCAATGCCAATGTTAAATCAGTCAGTTCTTCTATACGAGTTGGAGACTTGGTGAGTCATGAGAAGCATTTCTGACAGACAGCAGACTTTTATCGACAGGTGCGTTCTCTCCAGACTGAAGATAAGATGGCCAGAATGATCGGAAACAAGAAATCATGGTAACGAACCAGTCAAGACTCTACTGTTTTAATTAAAGGAAAATTCCCATTGTAACATATAGAAAATCAAAACAAGTAATTCAGAGAAGAGACTCGTTTCAACGAATTTATTATCAAGCTGTACAGTCGAATATATATGGTTTTAAAGAAATTATATCCGGTGAGGGAACTGAATCATAAGTGTGAATGCATAAAATAATAATAATATGAGATGAAATTAAAATATTTTTGAGGATCATCATAGTTAAATATCAAGTGGCAAAACAGTTAATGTTATGTGTAGAATAATTCACAGGATGTATAGAACTTGGAAGGGGTGTGTAATTATAGGATTAATAGGCAAATCGAATAAAATAAAAGCATTACGTAACATTGTGTGAAATTCGATAACATAGAATTTAACTTTAAAGCAATTAGTTCCCTTTATGAATTTCGACAACACAATAAGATGTAGTTTATCTGAAACGTGTAAACTAACTACGTCTTCTTATTGTGTTGTCGAAATAGAATTTAACGTTGCAAGACAGAAATGATTTAGAATGACTAGTGGGGCAAGTGAAATAATACCAGGGACAGTTCAAAGTGAGCATCATAATAATAATAGTAACACTTGACGTAATAAAACAAGAGTATACAAACTGAATAAACAAAACGGAAAAATTGGTAGAGCCAAAATATGATTACGGATTACCATACTCTAGCATAGACGGATTAAGAATATGAAAGTTAGAGGGGGTGAACGAACTTTTTTTGTACACAGAGATCTGGCTTTTCTGTTTCAATAGTCAAAGTTTCAGTAATATAGATGAGTCGGGCACGTAATGATTTCTGTACATGACTTTTTGCCTTGTAGATGACTTTGAAGACTGAAGTTGTAGAAATAGGGTGATCAGTATACACCAGATTTCCAATGATCACGCTTCTTATTGCTCCAATTCCACCTCTTTTTAAGCATGCAGGATAGTGGTCTTGCACCCTCTTGGACAAAAATCGAGTCGAACGACGAATATACCTAGCTTTACACGCGCAATTGAATTGATAAACGTACTCAGAGTTAATCAACTGCGGGATCTTGTCCTTCAGGCTATTGAACAGTAATGGTAAACTGGTAAAGGCTATTCTCAAAGATGCAGCAGGGAATTTTTTTTAGAGACTGTGAGATCTTTCTTTAAACAATATCGGAATCTATGTCACCTTTCAATTTCAAGCTCATGTACAGTATTTTCTTGGGTACAGATGATAAGTCATTTTGCATACTATTATTATTTTATGCATTCACACTTATGATTCAGTTCCCTCACCGGATATAATTTCTTTAGAACTATATATATATATATATATATATATGACTGTACAGCTTGATAATAAATTCGTTGAAACGAGTCTCTTCTCTGAATTACTTGTTTTGATTTTCTGTAAGAATCTGTTGCTCAATAAATATGCAGAAGAAATTGGAGGCACACGAAATGAAGACCGCTGGGTGACATCACTCGCCAGGCAACCTATCGAGTCAAACGAAGATGGGAAACGAGGAGTTGTGCTTGAGTCCTTCGGGTGAAGTGTAGGAGATCGTGTGAGGCAGAGATGAGATGATATGAAAAACCATGGCACCAGCAGAGAATAGGGTGAATTGGAGATGTGCTATTGGGGCCTTATGCTCCACTCTGAACCCAAGGAAATGATAATAACTTTATCGATATCAGCATCACAATGTTTTCTGAAACAATAGCGTAGGCTGGACATTTAGTTGACAGGAAATGACAAGAGTAAATTCACAGGCGAACATAGAAGTAAGTTTTTGATATACCTCAACTGAAGAAAACTACTTTTTCAAAGAAGAAAGTATGCATAGTTGTCTAACTATTTGAAGGTATGATAACTTGCACAGGCGTCATTCTCCAAAGTAGCAACATTCATGAAGTAGTGAAACATTGAGAGTTTACTCAGTTAGCTGACTGATGTATGTTAAAAAGATTTTGATAATTAACTAAAAAATACCCAACCTACTACTTACAAATTATTAGTAGTAAGAAGTGAAATGAAAATTCTGTAGGAATTGGTGCTTGGAAAGGATAACTGATAAAATAAAGATGAAATATACAGCTTATTTATTCAATATATTGCGTGAAGTACACTAATGCTATCAGAAAGCGAGAGGAACACATTATTTTCTTTCCGAGTTCCTCGACCTAGCTAGTAGTATTTACATACCAAACTAACGAATTTCATAGCATATTCTCAGCTGGGTATTTTCAAATATACAATTCGTAGAAATTTATCTGTTTGCATGAGATAAACTCTGTCATGTTTGGATATCAAAACAATTAGAAATCAAGGGACACCAAGAAGCTGCCTCTCTTTAGTGTTTATTTCTTCTGTACTTCTCAACCATGATTCCTCACAAGGATGAGTGCAAATTGACTGTGTCATTAGGCGACGATATCACAGATCAATCATAGAGTAAGAAATTTTTCTGCTAATTGTTTCCTGCTTTTATCACTGATGTGGATCTATGACAGATGTGGGTTACTGAAGAGATATCATCGAGCATAGACAGACATGGGGCGTGCAATTAATTCCAAACTCTATCAAATTACTGTCTTGGATGAAACGTTCAGGAGGATAACTTCAAGTCACTTCATGTTAATAAGCTCTTTTTACATTCCCAGGTGTTCGTAATGGAAAAAAGAGCTTCAGACTTGAGCTTTGA